ATACCAAGTAATTTTTTGTTATTGACCGTATTCATTATGAGCGTTATTTAGAGGGATGTGCTATTTTCAGATAACTCAAATCTTTCAAGACCTAACTTTCAATCGCATCACTGTTTCATCAAAATAAAACCAGATGTATTTATTTGATTCACATTGCAAATGGATGTATTAGTACCTATGTTGATTGTAATATGCAATAGTGTGAACAATACATGCTGAACGGTGAATACTGAGAATACAGATTATTTTAGCATTAAAAATTATTGTTACAATAGCGTTCACGATATAAGTGGTGATGAAGAATACGACTAATGACATTAGAAGTTGCAGAGAATAATGAAAAAATGAATGAATTCAGCATGCGTTACTGGTATGTCGAATCCATTATTCGGATGATCAAATCGGTGAATTAGCAGACGTTTCGATCGAAGATTACATGCTGAGTGTTTGGTCGGGTGATGAACGTTTACTAGCAATCATACAACAACAAAATAAGAATAATTTGGTTGAATTGGTCGGGCTGGATGATACTCGTAATGCAGTTATTAACATTCAATTAAAAAGTCCACCACACTGTGTCGATCCTGACTCGAATTCGATTGCGAGTCGCGAAATGTTGGTACATTTGCAATTCGATAACGGTAAAACAACAACAAAAAATATCATACATTCAGGTTTGGGCTGTTACGTTCTTTTGAATCGACTTCGTAACGTAGAAATCATTCTATTACCCCATAAATGAATGTATCTTGTTACTCATCAGAAATACATCAATTCAGCGCTTAACTTTCAAAACTTTCATCTGTCTGATCAATGATATCGATAAATTACCCATTTCTAAATCATCAATGAGTTATGCATGCATTCGAACCAATGAATCGATGAGTTTTATTATCAGTTCAGTCGATAACTTAAGTAAGAAACATATTCATTGAGTTATAGTTGTCTTTGTTTTATTCCTGTTATTTGCTCTTTTCATAGGTTTCAAACCTGCCATATCAAGTTGAACAGAATAATTCGGTTGGGTGTAAAAGGCAACAAAAATAAAGAAGCGCAATTTGAGGAAAAAAGAAAAGAAAAACGAACTAAAGTCCATTGCTCTTCAACCAATCCTCAACCAATAATCTTACTCAATATGTTTTCACAAATCGGCAGTTGCACCTCAGAAAATGCTAGCAATGAAAAAATTTCATGCTTCCGAAATTTGCAAACACGAATACAATCATCTTCGTTACTGTTTGATTGAACAAATGATATTTTGTGTACCAACTTTGATCTTTGTAGGATAACAATCGCAATAGACGTACGAACGTAAGAAAGTTTCAGTTGTGTATATGATGAAAAGAGCAAACTGAATTTTTCAGGTGAAACAAACAGTACACGAACGACAAGTATGGATTCAAGTGGCTGGCATTTAGAGATTATAATTGGAGTATTGATATTAATTGGAGCAGTAATTGTTGCGTTACATGCATTCGGTTATCGTGCGCGAAGACCGTTGAGTCAAGGATATGAG